TATATAGGTGTGGTGAATTTAATATATTTCGTTTTATTACCGTTTAAAAGCAAGTTATTGACGTTAATCCAGTGTGCTATATAGCATTATTCACTTCGTCATATTTTAATAATTGCCTTTTAAGTCGGAAGATCAACAAAGTATCATCAGCAAAGAAAACTATTTAACTTCATAGTTAAATAGTTTTCTTTGCTGATGATTTACTGTTTTAAAAATAATTCCATTCCAAAAATTTGTTTCGTAATCTATAAAACTTAAAGAAATATGTGAAACAGAAAAACTACCATTTAAATTTTCGAGTTCTTAAGGTGGCACAAGTCGCGGGCTCGAACTCGCTGGTGGGCGCGGCCAAAAAGCACGCTGTCTCACCTGGCATCGTGCCCGACAGAGATAGTATCAGTGATGAGCATATCGACACTAGTATTCACGCATTTCTTGTTCGTACGGTGTTCCGAACCGTTAGAATAAAAACGAAGTTACACGAACACGATGCAACATCTATACTAATATAATAAAGCAGAAGAGGGTTTTTGTTTGTTTAAACGTGCTAATCTCTGGAACTACCAGTCCGATTTGAAAAATCTTTTTTTGGATATTATAGCCAGATTCATGTTGAATAGTATAGGCTATACAGCATTAGGCTATATATCTCAGTAAGGAAGTCAGAAGAAAAAGCGCTGTTATGGTTCGAGATACGTAAATACAATGTTCTAGAAAAATATAGATCTTTACTCCGTCTAAAAAAAGTCCGCGATACCATATGACTATTTCTTATATATAAGCCACAATTAGGCATTTTGTGACAAAAAAAATGAAAATTTAATTATTAGGCACCTTACGAACCAAAGCTACTTCATTATCAAGACAATTTTATGAAGATAAACTTCGTTCTTTATACCATGTTTATATAGTACATAGTTTAAGAGATAATGTAAAATTAAAATAATTCAATACCTACTTGGCTTGACGCGCAAACAACGCATAACCCCTAGCCCGGTGCGAACTGAGAAGCCAGTATTGAAAGCTTCTATGAGCGAGGTTAGGTTAGCCGTTAGTTCAATCGTTATCTATATATACACAAATAAATAAAATTGAAGTGTCTGTTTGTAATGTCAAAATAACAGCTTTTTACTAATTGCGTATGAAACTGTATACGGTACTTATAACATTAACACAATTTTTAACATTTTTGTATGTCTGTCAGTCTGTTTGTTGCGGTTAATTTCCAAAACGGCTGGACCGACTTGGGCGGGACTTTCACTAGTAGATAGCTCATGTTATAAGAAGTAACTTAGCCTGCTTAAATTTTAGAAAAATTATTAGGTGTCTTTGCAACAATATTAACGCCCTAAACTAAACGCGGACGAAGTCGCGGGGTACAGCTAGTAGCTAAAATAAATTCAAAATTAATTGAGTACTTTTATCTATCTCCCGGGTGAGCGTAGCAATGATTAGTTACATCTTTATTTTTGAACTCTTTCATTTCACGTTGCTATGGTATTTTGAAAGTTTAAATTTAATTAATTAATAAGTATAAGAGGTTGATAGCAAATTTATCAAGAATCATTTCTTGCCTACACACTTTTCATGTATCGTGTACGTTTTTCTTTAAAACTGGAAAAAACCGCGCATAATATGCCGACAGATAAAATAAAAGTACTCCATTAATCATGACAATTTTTCCATACTAATGAAATAAAATATTTGATTGCAATTATAAAATGCTTGAACTAGGTGTCATGTCATGCCACGCATCTCGGACACGTGATGACGCGGGTGATCCACGAAATTATTAGGTATACGTCTGTGGCTCTATATACCTAATATAGATTGCTTATTTTATTATGTTTAGTTTTCCCCGAGTGGTCATGCAGCAATCACTCAAGAGTTCGGCTTCGAACGTGTGTAACTCGATAATTATCCCACGGCAACGAAATACCTGAATAAACGGTATCATATATGATATTTGGCAGCTCCATGGCGCAGTGGCTTAGCAATGAATTGTTGTACTGGGAGCCGCGGGTTCGTATCAATCGAACAAGTATTTGTATGGTCTACAAATAATTGTTCCGGGTCTGGATGTTTGTAAACTGCCTCCACGATACAGGAGAAAATCCTAGTGTGGGGTAACGTTTTTTTGCAAAAAAAAAATTCCGGACTACTGAGCAAAATATCATCCAGATCCCTTCAGCCGTTCTGGCGTGATTGAGTAACATACATCCATTCATCCGTCCATCCAAATATCCAAACTTTCGCATTTATAATATTTAGATAATAATCGTAATTGGTCTGCATACCTATAAATTGTTTTCAAAAATACTTACTTACCTGGCTTCTTATTTTTTTATATATACTCAATATCACTAAACGTAAACACAGGTTTTTATCAAGACAAGTGACCCATCAAGATTGTTTTCTTAGTACCGACGTACCTATCTAAAGTTTACAATTTTGTGGTCACGACGCGGCGAGGTTTTGTGACATTTTGTTGTATTGTTGATTGTAGGTATCTAGGTAATAACAGTAGGTACCTATGAAAATCCCACATAATATACTTTGTTTATCCGCCGCAAAAGTCGTCTAATAAATAATTAAACTGTTTTGTAATTCTTTATTTATTTATAACACTTGCATTGAGAGCCGTGGTAGCTCAGATGGTTAGCGCTCGCTGTAAGTATCACATTACGCGAGCAACCCGGGTTCGATCCCCGTCGGCACCAATGAAATTGTTGCAATTTTATATAGTAATCGAATATAGACTTTACTTTTTTTACTTTTATAATTATATTATATTACAGACGAAAATTTTAAAATATTGTCTGTCGTCCAAAACGCATCATCTCTTTCAATTATATCAATTTCCATGCCGTCTTTTGTCTTTGGCGTCCAAATTACAAAATAGCAAAACTTTTCGTTTCGAATAAAACTCGAATACTTATAAGCGCGCGTCACCGCCTGTGCATGTGTGTGTAAGCATCGTCCTCCCGCACCGCACCGGGGGAGACATTATTCAGTGAGATGCACGATAATTCAGAGTAACATGCGCGCGTAAAAAAATACGAAAAGGCCTTTGGAAGAAGGGGTTTTATGAAAAAACCACTGCATTAATCAATTACAAATAAAATTTATTGAGTTCTTCGATAATTTACCTGTGTCGGTACCGACTTTGTTTTGGAAATTTTACACTTCTTTTATTACTAATTTACGCCCAAAGTTGTGTTAAAATTGGCAATAAAAACGAATCTTTGGTAGCTCGTAACTTTTTAATAACATTTTATTTTACTATTCTGTTTCCGTACAGACAAATTTAATAATGAGACAAAACGATATCATGTTTAATTTTGGATGTACACTGTCAAACAGCGGAGTAAAACCCCTCCGAAATTTCTATGGAAATAATGTCGACTAGTGTCACCTTAAGAGTATGTGTAGTGTGTGTAGTGTAAAATACTGAATTACCACTTTATCAACAATAAAGGCGTACGTTGTAAGGAAACCTGTACATCTGGTATACTAAAATATTTTGAAATATAAAGTAGATTACTCAATGGTTGAGTGGTGGGTTCTTTCACGCACAAAAACCTCAGAATTCAGAAAGCCTGTGCCGAACAGTGGGAAGTATGTAGCTGTTGTGAAGTATTGTAAAACTACATAAAATTATGGTTGTGACAGTTGCCAAGAGTGATTAGTTGGGAAATTGTGGTTTAACGGTTAATCATGTGATGGAGTGACGACCTGGTAAAGAGATGTAGGTAATCGATGTATGCAGCCTTTGTTCAGCAGTAGACTTGTGGGGGACTGCGATGATGATGACCATGATGATTGTATTTTTGCACATTCTATGCAACATACTTGAAGTTAGAGCGCTATGCTTGAGAAATATCAGTCCTACAGTGTAATTCTTAAGATGCGTGTTTGGAATAGTTTACAAAAATATAAATAAGCCCATCGGAAACTGAAGAATGTTCCATTATAAATCTTACATAAAAAATTTAGAAATCTATTAACTACAAACAAATAATTATTTCTTATTTAAATAGAATAAAGGTGACAAAAGTGCTCACAGTCCACCTGATGGTAAGTGGATGCTGCAGTTCATAGACATCTACATCTATCTTCGATTAAAAAACCAAATGTAGATAGGTCATCACCCCTTAGGACTAAAATGGAATGCCTTGTTTCCAATAAAAAGGGTCTCCGGTTCTCTACACTCACCATACGAAACACAGTAGCATCATGCTGCTATTTTACGCTGGTATTCTGTGAGAGCGTGGTCTTTCACCGGTCGAGCCGACCCATTTGTGTTACAACCATAATATAGCTGCAGCATGTCTCTATCACGTAAAATTTCACGAAGGCTTTTTGGTGTTCAAGCAAGCAGAGCTGAGTAGAAGCTTGTCATCTATTAAAAAAATAAAATAATAGAGATTTGCAGTTGTGTGCGCATCACGGAAGAACTACTGGATAGATTTCAATTAGGTTTTCTAAGTTTTATTTCTTAGACACTTGGCCCATATCTAAAAAAAAAATATTTCGATAACTTCATTTAATATAAAGTACGTGGTAGAGCCATGCTGCAGCTATATTAGTAGTATAGTTGTAGCACGAATGGGTCGGCTCGACCGGGGAAGGACCACGCTCTCACAGAATACCAGCGTAAAATAGCAGCTTAACGCTGCTGTGTTTCGTATGGTGAGTGTAGAGAACTGGAGACCCTTTTTACTGGACAAGAGGCATTTCATCTTAGTCCTCACGGGTGACAACGCATCTCCATTTTGTGTCTTTATTGAGGATAGATGTAGATGTCTATGGGTCACAGTAACCACTTACCATCAGGTGGACTGTGTGCTCGTTTGTCACCATATACTATAAAAAAAGTTAAAGTTTTAAGAAACAACGAAATTTATAAGCACTATGTGCTCAGTGATGTGTGTTTTCTTTGTTAATATATCAAACAACGCGGACGGAGTCGCGATTGTCAGCTAGTATTATATAATTACCTTAACAATGTCCCCTTCTTCCAGTTTGAGGGCAGTTTTGTCGTACGCGTTCGGCACTCGGGTTTGTCTGACGCGCGCTAATGCGGGGAGGGTGCGCTGAAACATTAATATATTCATTACAACTATTTAAAATGCGTGTTGCCAGTGATGACACATGGATCTGAGGGGTGGTCCTTCAGTGCTGTATCATGAATTGATACAGCACAGAAGTGCTGTATCATGATTGACTGTAGCACGAATGCGTTCTCTCGACCGGGGAAATAACATGTTTGTGAACAGTACCAGGTTGAGTGGCAGGTACCGTGTTTCCTATAGTGAGTGACTAGAACTTGAAACTCTATCCATTCCACCTCTCTCACATCTTATCTTATAATTCCTAATTGAGGTTAAATGTAGGTCTATGGGCCTTAGCATGTTCAGTAGTGAATTTTTAATAGGCTGTAATGGTAACGACTTTATATTAAGGGTAATGTTTATAATATAATCTAATAACGTGTATTGTCTATCGTGTAGGCGCGGCGTTAAAATCCACTACAAAATATTATCCCGTGGGTATTGCAAGAAGCAACAGAGGGAAACTAGAATAGGTGATGGGTAGGTAGCGGTTGCTAACCCGTACTGCCTACTACTAACGACTGGTGTGTCTTTCCTAGTATAGCGGTGTTGGGATTAGTGGTGACGGGGATAGTGCACGCAATTGAGGGAGGGTGGGAGGTGCTCTTCAAACTAGGTAAGACACATCATTTTATTTTACCGAGCGGATGTACGCGAAGTAATTTTTTACCAACTTTAATATATTGGACTTCCGCAAAGTAACGCCTGATTCTATTAATTATCAGAAAAATTTTTGCAAATACTAGGGTGATGGGCTGAAAGGATTCCGACCTCAACGTGAAGATGGCGGCACTTGTCAATAAAAGCTAGTGAATGTAGTTGTGCATCTTTTGACAGTTACGCACCAAAATTTCAACCATTTTGGACGTGTAGTTGTTATTTGACAGTCGTTTGAGTGAGTCGATGTGAGTGTTTTTGTGAAAATGGAAAAAAACTGAGTATCGAGCTGTCATCAAATGTTTATTTTTGAAAGGAATACGCTCAGGCAAATTAAAGATGAGTTGGACTCTGTGTATGGGGAGTCTGCACCATCATTTACCACAGTGAAATTATGGGCAGATGAATTTAAACGTGGCCGTGAGAGTTTGGGAGAATGTTCGGGACGTTCAAAAATGCAACTACTGACGATAACATCGCTAAAGCTCACCAAATGCTGCTAGACGACCGACAAATTAAGGTGAGAGAGAGATAGCAGCAGCTATGAAAATGTACAAAGAACGTGTTTGTCATATATGAAATCAAGATTTAGGGCCAAATATATTAATTATTAAATAAATATAATAGGAAAAACATGTGTTCGAATGAACATTAGCAACGCTCTGTTGGCGCAGTTTAGGCGCAATAAATCCTAGTTTTGGCGCAGATTAATTACTGTAGATGAAACTTGGATACACCATTATACGCCAGAAATAAAAATACAGTCAATACAGTTGACTGCAAAGGGGAAACCGGCTCCAAAAAGCAATAACTGTTTTTTCTGCTGGGAAAGTGATGGCGACTGTTTTTTGTCATATTCACGGAGTTATCTTAATCGATTATCTTCAAAAAGGAAATACCATTACAGGTGCACACTACGCATCATTACTTGACAAACTAGAGGCAGAAATTGCGGAAAAACGGCCACATTTGCAGTAAAAGAAAATCCTGTTTCACCATGACAACGTGCCGTCTCATACCTCAGCGGTTGCCATGGCGAAAATCCACGAATTATGGTTTGAACTGCTTGACCACCTTACTTAGCAGATACAGTTCCAAGCGACTTCTTTTTGTCCCCTCATCTAAAAATTGCGCTCGGAGTACAGATTTTCGTCAAATGAGGAGACTATTTGGACGTGTTAGAGAGATGAGAGCATCGCTGAGAGAAGTGTGTAGAGTTACAAGGAGATACGATTCGAGACATACAACAGTTGTACACACACACACACACACACACACACACACACACACACACACACACGCACGCACGCACGCACGCACGCACGCACGCACGCACGCACGCACACACACACACACAAACACACACACACACACACACACACACACACACACACACACACAGTTTCACTATCCTAGGAGACCTGGGAGCAGTGGACTTTGAGTGGAGTTCTAGGCTGTAGTGAATGATGATGAACATATTGATGGTCTAGAAGACAAACATGCTAAGTGTAAAATTTTGAATTTTTAACATTTAAATGTCAAATTAACTAAATGAGCATGCTCTACTGTTTGCTCTTGTTAAAATAACATAATTCGATCTCTTTCAACCTAAATTGTGATTGTACATTTGTATTAAGTGACTGGAACATAAACTGGGGCTTAGCTTTCCATTGACGTCAGTGGAGTTTGGTGTTGATACGTATTTTTACAGAAAGATTACACTATTATAAGCACACACACAATGTCTCAATATACGGAAACGCGTAATTTTTGAGAAAAGAATAATTAAAAATCAATTATTCTTGCAATGTTTACGTCTAATTTGCTAATAAACTGGCGCCATTTTGTAATGTCATTGTCGACGTCAATAGGGATGTCGATTCTTTCCGAAAAAGGTCGATTTTTAAATCGATTCAAATCGTAAGCTGATGTATCGGTTCACAAAAAATCGATTTCTAAAATGTCTATATTTTTTTAGTGTTTCTATTTATAATGTAAATATAAACCCATTTTATGAAAAACAAGAAAGATACCATGATAAATGATCTCTTATTGAAATTTGTTTTATTTAACAGTACCTATTAGGGCAGATAAATAAAATAGGTTAGGTTCAACTTATGTCAAAGAACCGAATTGATTGACCCCGACTCCACCTGGTACGAGTCTGTCCTACCCCTAGAGTGGTTTTATAGAGCCGGAGGCGCGTAGGGGGAGCAGCCTCCGCCTGCTGTAACAAATCGTAGGCATCGGACGAGCCGGAGCGGCTGAGGCTGGTCGCCGAAGGCGACCAACAAGCCGAAGCTGCGGAGGCGAGGAGGGATGCCTGCGATTTGTTACGCTAAGGCGTAGAGGTTGCTCTTCCCGCAGCGCCGGAGACGTAACAGTCTCAAAATAGATACAGAAATCCGTATGAATCAGTCCCCTTATTTTTTATGATGAAGGGGATTTTTTTCTCATAAAATGGATTTATATTTACATTATAAATGTAAACATGAAAAAAAAATCGATATTTTAGAAATCGATTTTTTAGGAATCGATACATCAGCTTACGATTTGAATCGATTTAAAAAGCGACCTTTTTCGGAAAGAATCGACATCCCTATTGACGTCGACAATGACATTACAAAATGGCGCCAGTTTATTAGCAGATTGGACATAAACATTGCAAGAATAATTGATTTTCAATTATTCTTTTCTCAAAAATTACGCGTTTCCGTATATTGAGACTTTGTGTGTGTGCTTATAATAGTGTAATCTTTCTGTAAAAATACGTATCAACACCAAACTCCACTGACGTCAATGGAAAGTCGTACCTAAACTGGAACTCATAAAAGTTAATGACAGTTATTTCCCATCGTAAAAATAACAAAACACATTAAGTAATACTCAAGTATTTTACTATACACGCAATACACGAAAAATCTAAGTATATTTACGATATTTGGCATTCAATAGTATTCAGTTCGCAATTGTATTAAGTGATAATAGTTTTAAGAGTACGATGAACAATTTTTTTAAATAGTTTTATGTGCTATTTTATGTTATTTTGTTGTTAGTGTGTCATAAATTACTTTAGAAATATATCGAAACAACAACCACACTTTGTTTTGCTTAAGAAGTGATACAGAAATGGAAACAAACAATTCCCGGAGATTGATACCTAGTTTTCAACGTGAGTTTTTATTATTTTATTGTATAGTGATCATATTTACCGCTTTATGTAACGAAAACAAGCCTATTGTCATAACAGGTAGGTATGGCAATAGTTTGATTTAATTGAATGCAATAGTTATCTACCTAGGTTCTTGATGGGTTTTACGCACACTTAGTACTTTTTAATTTGCGTGGTAATAGTTCTAAGTGTTTTTATCACGTTTGCAATATTAACAAAATAATTTAAACGCCGTTAATAGGTACTTTTTTATTTAAAACGACTATTAAGTTTACTACAATACTTGGTTACTATAACTCTATTTATTTATTTTATTATTTATGTATACAATGTAAAATAGATACAGATACAACATAATTATTATTGAGTACCTACAAAGGTATTGCTTATTTCTTAAGAAATAAAATGCTTATTTTCTTAACTTAAATTATCATTTCAGGTCGAATGGAGCGTGCTCAAAAAATGATGAAAAAAAAACACAGCATACAGAAATCAAAAGAGAAAGGTATTCTCGGAAATAGAAAATTGTATCCCTAATAATCAAAATTAAGAAGAGAGTGAAAACCATAAAAGGATCAGTGCACGAAAATAAATATGCTGAAAACAAAACTGATTTGCAAAGAGATTATGACGAGCACAAAGAAAGAGAAAAAGAGTCTTTAGAAATGAAAGCGAAAGACAAAAAGGAAAGCATAGAGAGCGAAGGTAGTAAGCGTGCCATAACATTCGACTTGCAAGCAATATTGTCAGTACCTTATACCGGCGACTCCAAAATCTACTACTTGCGTAAGTTTTCCATTTACAATTTTACGATTTTAGATAACTATCAAAATACATGACTGTGCTGTATGTGGGACGAATGCAACAAGAAAAAAGGGAGCACTGAAATTGGTTCAGTTTTACTAAAGTACTTGATGGAATTGCCTGAAAATGTGAAATCAGTTTCATCATTTTCTTATAAGTGCAGCGGTTTGAACCGTAACAAATACTGCTATGTATGCTGTGATAAATATTCTACATCTGGAAAAAGTTAACCTCAAATATATGGACTCTGGTCATTCTTATTTCGAGGTGGACTCTATTCATGCAAGTATAGAGCGTGCCCGAAAACATAAAACAAAAATTCACTGCAAGGGGTAAAAATAAAAAAAAAACATTGAATCCTTATTGTTTTTTGTAATTAATAGACAATACACAATAATCTTAAGTAATCATTTACAAATCACTTTAGTGTACAATAGTACTAAGTGACGCTTCTTTTTTACTATATTCTGAAAACGGACGTTTTTATTTATCATCAATGATTACACTGATAGTACTTACATAAAATTTACTATAATACACAGTCTACCTTTAAACAGTTTTGAGTTTCAGCTCTTCAAATTTAAATTAACTAAAAATGTCCTCCTGAATAATTGCTTGATCTGTAATTAGTATGTTTGTCTTCTAGACCATCGATATGGTCACTGTACAATATTTAAAAACCTTACCTGCATGTTGGTGCGTTGCTGGGGATGCCTGTTCCCAGGAGGACTGGGCGGATCCCCGAGCTGGTTCAGCGCCTCCGTTGGAGGGTATGGTACTCCTGAAGGATCTAGGATCTGTCAAATTATCAAAATTGGTCTTAAAATTTGGTTAATTTTCTATTTTTAGGTAAATTAGATTACTATTATTTAAAAATATAGACATAAGATTATGTTTATGGTATACCTAGATCTGGGTGGTTTGATTATTTTCTGCCAAGAAGTCCGCCTGGGTGTACTTGCACAGTTAATTATACTGGCTCTCTATACCATTCAGAGCCAGTATAATTATAAGCAGACTAATCTTAATCCTCGAAGTTGAACACGAATCTGTGGCCTTCTTTGTTTGAAGTGGGTAGGTCTCCATGGACTGCAGCAGCCGCTTACCATCAGGTGGATTGTAAGTGTGCATTTCAGTTTCACAAAAAAAAAATGTGACTTAAAATTTATGACGTTATTACACATTCTCATACAATGGCCGATAGAAACAGAAATATTTATTTTGACAACTCTTGAAATATTTCAGTTGACTCGAGTGGCAAATACAAATACCCAATTGACACTATTAGGATTGTAACAGTTAATTCTCCTGTCAATTGAGTATCTTTAAATTGATTTTATTGGTACATTTCTTTTCTATACTATTTTACAAGTTTTGGTAATACAGAAATGGTTAGAAGAACGGTGAACAATTCCAAGATAAAACGAAAGGTCACAAATAATATCTAGTATTCTTACTTTTAATTAAAATTAAAAGCAGACTTAAAAAAAGAAGTCGGTAAAAAACAGTACGTTAAATTAAAGACCCAACTTCTGGAAGATTTTTTTGGAATTATTATATTACGTTTGGTTCTGAAGGTCGAAATTTCCAGAACGAAAACGTTGAAACCCAAAAACGTACCGTGCTTTATTTTGCGACACCAGCGCCGTACACATCGTTAATCCTTGGAGCTGTTTCTGCAGCACTGGTGCCACGGTAGAACTCGTACTCGTAAATATACCGATATTTCATGTTTTCCATTGTGCGGTAATAAGCGACGCCAAAGAAAAAAAAATAATGAGGAAAAAACAAACGAATGACTGTTTTCAAAACTCAAATGTACCAGCTAAATGAATTTAAAAATTTGAATTTGGAATTCTTAACCAAAGAGGAGATATTTCAGATCAAAGTGGTCAATACGACAAAACGCTAATTCCATATGTAAAGATATTTAGTTCTATGAAATCCGCTATACTCTTTATCAAAAATCTGATTTATTGACAATTTTGAGTGTAGTTCTTCAAATTTATATTGAACCCCTCCCCTGAAATGTAGCCTATTTAATAAAAAAAAAACAATCATTACGATGATGTCGCGTATAATATGTAGGTACAAAAAAGAACATAGACTTGAAAAGCTCCTCTTTTTTATTTCGGCGGATAAGTATTAAATGAACACTAACCCTTTGCACATACGGCACAGGAATCGAACCGGTGCGTCCCTGACTGTTACGCGCCGTCCACCACTGCTCCTCATCCCTGTTGATCACCATGAGCCTCTCGCCGCGTCTGAACGGTAGATCGTCGGCGTCCTGAAACCACAGCAGTATTGTTATTATAATTTATGACTAACGTATTTAATTTCTTTACAAGCAGTAACACCCTATTTCACCCCCTCAGGGGTTGAATTTTTCAAAATCCTTTCTTAGAGGGTGTCTACATAGATGAAGGAGGAGTTAGGAGTTTTGGAGATCTCGTGATCAGTGAGTAAGTAAGTGGTATTTGGAATATATACTCGTACATATAGATTTATACTTCCATGCAAAATTGTACATCCGTAATTTGGACTTAAGCCATAGGATATTCTCTACCAGTGCACCATTAGGCTAAACAGAGATAGACATGTACTTCAAACCGCCGAAGAAGATTAGGTAATTTTTACCATCCGTCAAGAAATATCCCTCTACAAGATGCAAGAGTGTACAAGCTTGATTGCGAATGTGGTCTCTCTCACATAGGACAAACAAAAAGATCTATTAAAGCCCCCGCCATTACATCTGATTTGATAGACCACAAATCCTCGCAAAAGAACACCGATTCCTACCAAGGACGATACGCGAGGCTATTGAAATTAAAAAAAATTCTAATTTCTATTGAGAAGATGGATGGGTGCTGACATCTGCTTGGAATCCTATAATTAATAAAATTAAATCCAAACCCAAACATACTGCAAGACTTCAGGATACTGTAAGCTCATTCTGCGTAGATAGATCCAAAATAATAAATTCAGTTTTTAAATTAATATTCAAAAACTGAAGGAATTCAAAAGCCGGACTAACTATGACATTGGGACGTCAAATGTCTCAGTCCCCCGCGTGACCATAGTTTGCTGTAAAGCACCTGAAACGTCGGGAATTAAAATATGTAAATTAAACGTGATAAAATCTGTAAACATAGTTTCATTCAATGCCCTTTACGCCTATTACGAGTGGCGTAGACAAGATGATACTCGTACCTTGACGTTGTTCCCTGTCGCCGATCTGAATATTTTACATGGTTACATAGCAAAGGAGTGGAATATGTTGCCAGCATCTTTATTTCCATCCGATCACAATATGGGTGTATTCAAGGCAAGATTGAATAGGCTTACGCTAAGCTAAGTCAGTGCGCTTTATCATTTTCGTCTGCATCACCACTTACCATCAGATGGGATAAGTCAAGTACTGGCTTGAAATAGTTAAAAAAAATACCGCCGACTAGCGGAAGCCATTAGATATTTCTGTCATTCCTATAGTTGTCTTTTACGACACCCACGGGACGAAATGGGTGTGATAAACTGGTGCATTCTTTCAAGCAGCTACTACATGGCAAATTTAATGTTAATTAATTATATCAAAAAAAAAAATAAAGCGCAACGATCATTCGAGAAACACTAGTCGAATGTTAATAACGCATTAAAATTATGAATGAGCCCAAACAAATTCGACCGTTTCTCCAAACGTAAAGAAAATAAATAATGGTAAGTCACGCGAACCACAAACTCACGCTTATAACGTTATTAAATTGACCGAGTTTGGAAACTACACCTACATAGAAACATTTTTTTTAATAGAATAATAGACAAACGTCCACACAGTCCACCTGATGGTAAGTGGTTGCTGTGGCCCATAGACATCTACATCTATCCTCGATTACGTATCAAAATGTCGATGGTTTTATAAGAATAAATTAGCACAATTTCCTCTTTTCTGTTGATAGAAGCAGAATGAATCATAAACCCACAAAGCAATTTGATTCCTGACAATCAATATGACGTATTTTAATTTTCCTTGAAAATTATGCGGTTCAATTTTAAGTGAACAGGAAAGGTGTAGCGTGTAGCAGCAGTTTCATGAGAAAAGGGCACATCTAAGGTGCCTTTACCTTCACACTTAGTGTGCAACAAAAGAAATATCTTTTTTTTTTTTACTTAAATTTCACAGTAGATATTGATATTAATATATGAGCACCAACGCAAGTATTAATACTTTTATGTATGGGCATTTAAATTTTATGTTCTAATATTAGTACATTGGGTCTATCTTCGATCTAGCTTTTTCTCTTTTAAGTTTCTGGACGTGATAAAAATTCGTAAAAATTAGTTTCATTTAATGTGTAGTGTTCGCGTAAATTGAGAAGTCATTATTTTTTCACTTTTGAGTCTACGAACGTAAATAAGGCTTAATAGACCAAGGCATAAGCAAGCAAATCCAAGTTCCAAAAGCACCTTGTAATTTTAAGTGTTGATTTGCCACATGCTTGGTGGTGAAAGAGAAAATCTTTAAGATCGATTTAATTTCTCACAAGCGACTATCATAATAAACTTTAAGTTTTCTGGCGTTTCCCATCGTCGCCTCTTATGACCCCCACGAGATGAAATTTGCTGATGGATTCTCTTACACCGGCACCACAGGGAACATCAAATCCTGCGTACTCTAGGTTTCTTTGAAAAAAAAGACTCGCTCATGATTTCTGGTCCTCTGCACAGCTAGCAAGGACTGGGGACAAAAAAAATTATTCCCCGATTATATCTACTGACAAGAGATAAAATTATTATGTAACCGTAACGAGTAGACATATTATATCCCCCGTCCGTAGCATGGAGCCAAATGAAAGAAATTATACTTTTTTGACATTTCAAAGGGACAATTTTATCCAAGTTCATTGGACGTGGGTTTAAGTATATATCCATACATAAAAACTATCTAAGTCAAGTCTACCTCCAATTTTATCTACTGTGGATATTATATCCACCGGTGTGCCCATGCTCGAAGGGTGGATAAAACTAAGCGAGGGGATAAACATTTTCTCCTTTCCCCGGAGATAAAATTGTCTCCAGTCCATGCTAGCCCTGCTGGGGTAGTGTATCACCGATACAGGGAAGCGCCAAAGGAAATTCCCTAAATAATGTTATGTTTATATATTTTTTACGTTACGGTATATTGCTATAGGCCAATGGTGCCTAATTTTTAAGTCTGTGATGCCTGAATTAAATATATTATATTGTATTGTACTTCATACCATTACATATTACATTATATTCCCCGTATAGTGGCGGTGTAAGTGTTATACTTAGACCGCCACTAGACGAAACCCACGGGACCCTACTCCATATTATTCCGTGGGTTTCGTAAGAGGCGACAGAGCGAAGCAAATCAGGAGATGGGCAGACGCGTCTTCCTAATAACGACTAAAAATAAATAATTGCAGTTGCCAACCCGCTTGTCACGCGTGGCAACTATGGCAAATATCTCCCTTATGAGACAATCTGTGGGGGAGGCCTATGTGCAGCTGGACTTTTACGGTAACGGTAATACCATTACGTAGGGTATATATTTTTAGACTAAACCATGCATTTAAAATGTGATAAATGAACAGTACTAGATCGGATGAGCGAATGGTTATTTTTTCTTACGATATTTTTATACCTAACGGACATGACTGGAGTTTTAGTAATCGTGATGTCGGCGTATTTTAGGCACGTGGAAGAAATTAGCGCGTGATGTGAGGCTATTCGGAAATATTTTCGTTCATGTATTCATGAATGAGTTGTTAGGGTTGTCAATGAGGAACAAAATTGATTGTATTTAAAGTAATATACGTGCTTTTTATATAAGTAATGGTGGCAATCGTTTACACAGTGGCAATATTTATTTATCCAAAATTAACTATAAGACAAGACCTCTAGACACACGAACACACAGTTCACCTGACGGTACAATGTAGATGTCTATGGGCCACAACATCACTTAATGTTGTGGCCCATAGACATCTACATTTATCTTCAATTAGGAATAAAACATTCAGAACGCGTTGCAGAGGAAGCAGCAGAAAAGAGAAGTAAGCAGAGACTACGGATTTCTATTTGACAATATCCTGACACAACTCTCTCAATCTTTTTCGATTTTGATTTTGAGGGTACTCGTAACTTTGTCCACCTTCAATATATAAAGCCGACGTAAACAGTTTTTTTTTGTTAGAATACGGGTGACTAACGAGCACACAGTCCACTAGATGGTAAGTGGATGTTGTGGGCCATTGAAATCTACATCTATCTTTGATCCCTGAGGACTAAGATGAATGGCCTTGTTTCCAATATGTCTCCGCTTTTCTACACTCATCATACGAAACACGGCAGTATTAATCTTCTATTTTACGTTGATATTCTGTGAGAGCGTGTTCCATTCCCGGTCGAGATGACTTATTCGTGCTACAACCATAATATAGCTGCAGCGTGGCTCTACCACGTATACGTGATAGAGCTGTGACTAAGATGGAATGCCTCGTTCTCAGTAACTGCGGGTCTCGTCTTGCTGCGAAATGAACCTAGTTTTATTATAATTACGATAATAATGTGAAAGCATTCGCATCAAAGAACCGTAGGGAGTAAAAATATATTTTTATCAAGTTGCGTATCCGTTGGAGTGCATTCTTGCCGAGTAGATGACATGAGCGTGGGCGAGATTGCATAATGTGAATGTGCGAAGTATAATGTATTGTCCCGAGCGGAAAACGGCCTATGTAGTTCGTCTAATTTAATACTGCATGCGCCCCTTTTATTTTTGTTCTTGGTAGATTTTGTCATATTTTATCGTACTAGGTTTTTTTCTAAATATTTCTTTTTAGAATCGCTGTGATTTGAAACTCGACGAAATGAAGAAGCGACACTCAAAAGAGACAAACATATTATACATCAATAGGATTTTGCCTGCTTTTTTATTATTAACAGTGGTAGAGCCACGCGGTAGAATTGCTGTCGCACGGATGGGCCAGCTCGAACCGGGGTGGTACCACGACCTCACAGAATACCAGCGTGAAGTAGAGGTCTCTGCGTTTCGCTTGGTGAGTGCAGGTGGCCGGAGATCCTTTTTACTGGAAATGAGGCATTCCATCTTAGTCCTCACGGGTGACAACGCATCTGCATTTTAATTCGCAAACGAGGATAGATGTAGATGTCTATGGGCCGCAGCAGCCACTCACCATCAGGTGGACTGTGTGCTCGTTTGTCACCCTTATCCTTATCCTATAAATTACCCTTATCCTATAAAAAAAAAATCTCGGCCTCATTAAATTAATAATAAAATTTTATTAATAAAAATAAATAAGGTTTCACTTCTACCGCGTGTGAACTCCACACATGGTTTTTTTACAGTATAAGGGTGACAAAGGAGCACACAGTACACCTGATGGTAAGTATAGATACTGTGGTCCATAGACATCTACATTTGTCCCCAATTATGAAGCAAAATGCAGATGCGTTGTCACCCCTGAGAGTTAAAATGGAATGCTTCGTTTTCCAGTGAAAAGGTCTTACACACCAGATAATACAAATTTATCGTATATTTGACACACAGAAATTAATAAATTAAAAACCACTTACACTGCCAACGAAGTCGAACTTGGCAATCACCAGCTCTAGCACCTGGTGCGGCTGGGGTGGTGGTGGCGCGGCCGCCCTGGCCCTCGCTTGTGGCAGCGGCCTCACCAAAGGCGTGGTATCAAGATAGTGCAGCCGGTAGAATGACAATAAAGCCGGCATATCCGCGAACAGCTGGTCGCCGATGCGGAAACGTGTGGTACCGTCGGCTGACACCACGTGATTTATTATGTAGTGAGATACACGATCGTCCTCCCTGGAGAACAACAGGAATAGAAACTTAAACAATATAGATTATAAATAATACTTATTGAACGTCATTTCTATGTTTAAACATTTAAATTCAAGGTCATTCATTTTCATCATTACAGCCTTTCATAAGTCCACTGCTGAACATAGGCCTCCCCCAAGGAATGCCACGAAACACGGTCCTGAGCCACCTGCATCCATCGACTTCCTGCATGGCTTACCAGGTCGTCACTCCATCTCGTGGGGGGGGGGGGGGGGGGGTCGCCCTACACTTCGCCTACCGGTACGAGGCTGCCACTCAAGAACCTTTCTTCCCCATCGGTTGTCGGTTCTTCGAGCTATATGGCCGGCCCACTGCCACTTCAGCCTACTAATCCGTTGGGCAATGTCGGTTACTCTGGTTCTACTGCGGACATACTCATTTCTAAGTTTATCACGCAGAGAAACCCCGAGCATAGCCCTCTCCATAGCTCGCTGTGCGACCTTGAGCTTCCTCATACGGCCAGCAGTGAAGGACCACGTCTCAGATCCGTAAGTCATCACTGGCAACACGCACTGGGTGTACAGTCTCGTTTTCAAGTTTTGAGGTATACCTGACGAGAAGATGTGCCGTAATTTCCCGAACGCTGCCCAACCGAGTTGAATCCGTCGATTGACCTCTCGGTCGAAGTTGAACTTACCTAGTCGGACTATTTGTCCCAGGTAAACATACTCGTCAACAACTTCGAGCTAAGTGCTCCCAACAACTACCGGCATAGGTGTGACATGGACATTAAATATGATCTTTGTTTTGTCCATGTTCATCCTAAGACCTATTCGTTGGGAGACACTATTGAGGTCATTGAGCATGGTGCTTAGGTCCTCCAGCGATTCAGTCATAAGGACTATATCGTCGGCAAATCGAAGGTGAGTGATGTACTCGCCATTGATGTTAATACCGTATCCTTTCCAGTCCAGAAGCTTGAAAACGTCTTCCAATGCAGCGGTGAAGAGTTTCGGGGATATAACATCACCCTGTCTTACACCTCTCTACAATTGGATAGGTTTCGTACTCTGTACTCGGATAGCCATCGTAGCTCTACTGTACAAACACTTCAGCACTTCGATATACCGATTACCGACAGTCAACTTGGCAGCGCTGAAGGGACTGCAGCACCGCCCAAATTTCGACGGAATCAAAGGCTTTCTCATAGTCCACAAACGCCAGACATAGTGGCAAATTGTACTCCTCGGACTTCTGGTGCTAAAGCCCTTTCGGAAACCGGCTTGTTCTGGAGGCTGGAAGTCGTCAAGTCTGCGCGCGAGACGATTCGTAATGACTCTCGAAAACAGCACGTAGACGCGGCTCAGAAGGGAAATCGGTCTGTAGTTCTTCAAGAGAGCGTTGTCACCTTTCTTGAAGAACAAGACCACCGCACTTCTGCTCCACGCCACCGGTGTAACGCCACCATGCAGGACGGAATTAAAGAGCTTCTGAAGGACTTCAAGTACCGGTCTTCCACCCGCTTTCAGAAGCTCCGCTGTAATTCCATCCTCGCCTGGGGCCTTGCCGTTTTTAAGGTGCTGGAGAGCCATTCTAATCTCGCTCAGACTGACGTCCGGGATATCTTCGGAATAGTGTCGGATAAGACTCGCTCTTGGATCGTTACTCACACTTGCGTGTGGATTCAACGATGACGTGTACAGATTCAAGGTAATGAAAGACAATTTTTTTTATTTTTTTTTTCAATAAATGTCTTTCGAATGAAATATAGCCTCAAACCCTCCTGGCTTTGCTCTTTACCTGTTCGTCAAATTTAATCACAAGCGATTCCGACGATTAGCCTGGACAACAGACAGACAAAAATGTTAATGTTAATAATTGTTCTTTATGTCTTAATAGTAGGTATGCAAATAGGGTTATTTGCATACCTACTATTAAGAAGGCGGTCCTTTTTATAGGAGAGGGGGCAAACGAGCATGCGGCTCACCTGATGGTGACTACCGCCGCCCATGAACAACTGCAACACCAGGGGAACCAGGGAAATCGCAGATGCGTTGCCGGCCTTTTAAAAAGGAGTAGGCTCTTTTCTTAAAGGTCCCTAAATCGTATCGGTCCGGAAAATCGCTGGTGGTAAACGATTCCACAAGGAAGTTGTGCGAGGAAGAAAACATCTAAATCGCACAGTGGTGGACCACCAATCATCCAGATGGTGTGGATAATATCGGGAGTTCTGTCGCGATGTGCGCTCGTGAAATTTGGCGGCTGGGATTAATCCGAACAATTCCTCAGAGCACTCCCCGTGGTAATCGTAAACTAATGATAAATTAATAAAATATATACACAATAATATTGGCAGAGTTCCATTTTCAAAATTTTTATTATATCGTTTACAAGTGGCCAGTTCTAAGAACTTTCAGTGTCGGCCTCGTACTGAAGTACCTACACAAAACTGACCATACTGTATTACACAAACTGTTAAGGAAGAATTCTAAAGAAGAAGTAGATAAATTAAGAGGAAGAACCATAATAAAATGTAACTCATACACACCTGACACAAAGCACGTAGTCGCCGTGTATGGTCTTCGAGTCCCTGACGAGGAACACCCCGCTTTCGGTCTCGTTGAGGAGTAGCTTCGTGGCCTCCGCTCGGGACAGACCGCCGAAGTACCAACTGTGAAAAAACAGACCATTATAAAATCAATGACAAAATCACAATAATTTAACTTATGTAAGCTGACCGTGTATAAGGCAGTGTAAAAATATCCACTGCCCCATATCGTCCCACGGGTGTCGTAAGAGACGATAGAGGGATAGAAACCAGGAGATGAACAGCAGCGACTGCCATGCGTGAAATCTATGTTTAATATACCTAGAATAATATGGAAGTAGAATAAAATGTAATATGAGGCTATCTATGGGACAGGCCTATGTACAGCAGTGAACTTTAGTAAAAATAACTCTTACTGAACACTTCGATTGGAATATTAAAAATGTTGTGTGAAAGTTCTACAAATGCCTACCCATGGTAAATAAAATATTTATTATTTATTTATTTTTTAAAAAACGTTACCCCCGCACTAGGATTTTCTCCTGTATCGTGGAGGCAGTTTACAAACACAAATTGCACAAGGACAAACATCCAGACCCGGAACAATTATTTGTAGGCTATACAAAATACTTGTTCCGTGCAGGATTCGAACCCGCGCCCCCCAGCGCAGCAACTCATTGCTAAACCACTGCGTCACGGAGCCGTCAAATAAATAAAATAAGTATAAAAATACATTATATTATTCATTTTCAATTAGTATAGACTATAGAAGACTCTTTAGTCTTGGATTCTTTTTTATATAAGAGGGGGGTAAACTGGCATACGGCTCACCTGATGGTAAATGACTACCGCCACCCATGAACAATGCAACACCAGGGGAGTTGCAGATCCGTTGTTGGTCTTTGAAAAAAGATTAGGTTCCTTTCTGGAAGGTCCCTAAGTTGTTCATTCTGGAAAAATGGCTGGTGGTAGTTGATTCCACTAAGAAGTTGTGCGAGAAAGAAAACTTAGAAGTAACTTGTTGTGGTATGGCTTCCGTTACATGGAGCTATAACAATCTTGTTAACCGTTACCGTTACTTATAGCCTAATAAAGTCCGCTGCTGAACATAGGCCTCCCCGATAGATTGCCTCATAATCGGGATATTTGCCATAGTTTTAATGTTACTGGTGATTTGAAAGTTTCACCTCTCAGTGTGTCATGTGCCCCTGGTAGATTATCTTCTGTACATTCATCCATTGCAGCCTATTAAAGCCCACTGCTGAACATAGGCCTCCCGGATAGATTGCCTCATAGGGGGGATATTTGCCGTAGTTGCCATGCTTGACAAACGGGTTTGCAACCGCAAAAAAAAAAGAATCATCAAAATCGGTTTAGCTAGAAATAGTTCTGAGGTAATATACATTATGCTCTACTGAGAGATGGCCGAGAATCCATAAAAAAATCTACTAAACATATAAGAAAATTCAAAGCGATGTAAGCGATCCATGCTTCATGTTTTTAATGACTTTAATTTAAACACAGCATCAGTTCCTAAATTTTTTGCGCATGTGAGCGTAAACTAACAATCTCCACTTATGAGCGGGTGTGTTGTAAAAACTACTACTTTGTGCAAACATTGGAACCAATGTTCAAACCATTGTGTAGACTTTTAAGTAATCTATATTTTTTTTAATTTAATTTATACTTTCAAGGAACAAAGTAGTACATATTGCGGACTTAATGCCATAATGCTTTTAACCATTATGCAAAGATAAACATATAAAAGGCTATATCTATCTATACAAATAAATAAAATTTTAAGTGTCTATTTGTAATGTCAAAAACACAGCTTTTTATCAAATGCATATGAAAGTATACAATATGGTATTAACAACAAAAAAAAACAATTTTTAAAATGTTTGTCTCTCTGTCTGTTTCTTCCGGCTAATCTCCGAAATGGCTGGGCAGGCTGGACCAATTTTGACGGGACTATCACTGGCAGATAGCTAAGGAGTTACTTACGCTACTTTAAATTTTTGAAAACGATTTCGATTTTTTTTATAGGATAGGGTGACAAACGAGCACACAGTCCACCTGATGGTAAGTGGTTACTGTGACCCATAGACATCTACATCTAACCTCAATAAAGACTCAAGATGCAGATGCGTTGTCACCCGTGAGGACTAAGATGGAATCCCTCTTTTTCAGTAAAAAGGGTCTCCGTTTCTCTTCACTCACCATACGAAACACAGCAGCGTTAAGCTGCTATTTTACGCTGGTTTTCTGTGAGAGCATGGTCGTTCCCCGGTCGAGCCGACCCATTCGTGCTACAACTATACTACTGATATAACTGCAGCATGGCTCTCCCACGCATAAAAAGTTAAAAGTTTAAATTTTGCGTAAAAAAAAAAAAACATGAAATCCAATCGCAAGCTTATCATAGATCACGAATCACAGCAGCATTGAGCTGCTATTTCACAATGGTATTCTGTAAGAGCGTGGTCCTTTCCCGGTCGACCCGAAGTTATGTCTGTGGAGTTCACGATGCATTGGGACAGCGCGGTTGACTTTCCCCTGGTCAAAAAACCCATTTAGAAATAAGAGAAAGGCATACTATGCTAAACGACGGAACACATACATTACTTTAATTTTTTTTTTAATAGAATAACACTTATTCTTACAAACGGGCACACAGCCCACCTCATGGTAAGTCGATACTGGGGCTCATAGACATCTATGTACATCTATCCTCGATTACGAATCAAAATGCAGATGCGTTGTCAACCGTGAGGACTAAGATGGAATGCCCGGTTTCCAGTAAAAAGGGTCTGCGGTTCTCTACACTCACCATACGAAACATAGCATTAAGCGGTTATTTTACGCTGATATACTGTGAGAGCGTAGTCCCTCCCCGGTCGAGTTGACCCATTCGTGCTACAACTATAACTGCAGCATAGCTCTATCACGTAAAAAAAGACGGTTGACCCTACAGTCCATCTCTGTAAGTTCCCGCTAATTTCAAATGCAAGATGCTACAAATTACACTTATTATGACACTCTTCAAGCTCAAAAACGTAATTTATTACATCAAAAACGATCCGAGAAGAAATTTCAAAGTTATTTGAAAAAAAAAAATACTTTTTCCGAAATTTTTCGTTACCGATTTCTCTTCAACGCATCAATCGATTTTCATGCGGTTTGCAGCAACCGACGGTGTTTTTAGAGTTTAAGAGGTGATTAGATTTTAAAAGTGATCGTTACATCTGTTTAAGTTAATTAAAAAAAAAAATTTTTTTTTGATTTCTCAGAATCTACCGGTCCGAATCGGTTGAAATGGTATAGAAAATCTAAGTTTGGTGAAGCCCTTTCGAACGCCGCCGAGTTCGTTCGGTCAAGCCATTCAAAAGTTATGAGAGATTTACAAACTCGTATATCACACACAAACGGAGAGAGGTGTGTCAGGATCGTGCCAAATGGACGTCCGTAGTTTCTGCCTATCCCTCTAGCTGAAAGGCGTGAGTATTTAGGTTATTATTATTTATTATGTAAAAAATTTGTACAAACGACTTCAATATTAATAAAATGAGAAGTCGAAGTAAATTAAATACGCATTATTAAGGACAACTCAAAAACTACTGGTCAGATTTGTGAATTTATATGGGACTACTTGCGAAGCACCAGCTTTCAAATAAAAAACGAATCATCAAAATCGGTTCACCTAGAAAGACTTCTTTTTTCACACATAAAAAAATACAGTCGAATTGAGAACCACCTCCTTTTTTGAAGTCCGTTGAAAAACTAAAATTATGTCTGATGCACTGTTTATAAATCAACGCGCAAACATTTGGCCGTGCAATCGGCCAACGTTCGAGGCCAGTTCAATTCGCGCGACTGTTTTATTTACGGGGTAGTTAACCTGCTCCATAAATCCGCGACAGCAGTTAAATTTCGAACGAATATGTGTGAACTGGAACTGACTGGGTCTCGTATCCGGTTTGAAGCATTAGGCGTTACACGTTACACGATTATTTTTGGGGTGTGTGTGCACGCGTGCATGCATGCGCGTGTGTAGGTATGCGGCAGATTTATGGTAAAATCAGGTTTATGATCAAGAACCGGAAGAAGACAAAATTATTACTGAACTTATCATTAACCTGAAAAAAATCTTGTTTTTGATCAAAAGCCTGTATTTGTTTAGGTTTATGATAAAATTTAAGCTCAGGTTAGGTTAGGTTATCTAATTATTTTATTTATTTAGAGAAATAGCAACCGACATTGATTTTATCATATCATTCTAGGTTTTTGATTAAAAGCCAGATTTTGTCATAACCCTGCGACATGTATATTGCTATTGGTCTTGCGGCCTTTACAAGTACAACGATATTGACTCTACATCAGAAGACTAAAGAAGATAGGCAACAGAGATAGGCCGTTACTTTACACGATTATGTTGTGTGTGTGCGTGCGTGCATGCGTGCACGTATGTGTTTGTATATTGCTATTGGTTCTGCGTCCTTTGCAGGTACGCTAGTATAGACTCGCGAGCAGAAGACCTAGAGTAAGGCAACAGAGATAGGCCGTTACTTTACACGATATTTGCTGGGTGTGTGTGCGTGCGTGCATGCGTGCACGAGTGTTGCTATTGGTTCTGCGGTCCTTACAGACACACTGATATAGCTTCGCGAAAAGACCAACTAGTAAGGCGATAGATTATTTTACATTCTTCTTCTTCCGTTAGAGCCTATTAAAGTCCACTGCTGAACATATGCCTCCCCCTTAGATTGCCTCATAGAGGGGATATTTGCCATAGTTACTACGCTTGGCAAGCGAGTTGGCAACCGCAGTTTTTCATTTTTAGTCGTTATTAGGAAGACGTTGCTGCCCATCTCCTGATTTGTTTCCCTCTGTCGCCTCTTACGTCACCCACGGGGTGATAAGGGGTAGTGGATATTCTTACACCACCACTACACGGTACGGTATCATTCTTCTTCATCAGCCAGTAAAAGCCCACAGCTGAACATGAGCTCTCCCACTGTAAGGAGGATATGCCCCAATCGTCACGCTTCACAGGAGAATTGGTGATAGCAGTATCAAAAGTTTAGACCTTTAAAGCTGCTGCCTATCGCCTGTCTGGGTGTTTT